CGCGATGCACAAAAGCAGTATTTAGAGGGAAGGAATTACTCTCATACGTGAATAATAACCGAAATGAGTCATCCAACATTATATTCTAAGCGATGATTATGATGGCATGATTTACACCCTGCGCCTGATCCCCGGACGGTGGTACTACTGGGTATTCTTGGTGGGGGTGTGGTGCCCGGTTCTCCGAATCCTGACCTTATTGCAGACCAAAAAATGTCATTTTCCACATCCGTTTTCAGCCCAGATCTCTAAAATCCATACCCATTTTCGGATCTGGCTAATTTAGCCTGTTCCAGGCTCTCAGATAGTTGGGGAAACTCCCCAGTTTTGTCCCGTTTTATTTTCGTGTTTTCGCTTTTTCAATTCAGCGGACCCAACTATCTCAGAGCCTCGAACAGTTAAGGTCTAATTAGGCAGAAATTATGTCATCATTACCAAGTAAGAGGGGAAACAAAAAAGTTCTCCAAATGCATTTTTAATTCGCACATTTCTATTTCGTTCTTATTCATTTGGAATTGAAACGACAAATACGTCCATTCATGTACGCTCCCGAAGTTCCCTCGAAAACCATACCCGATTCCACACCAAAATGGGCAAAGTGTTTTCAGACCAAAAAGGCCCCAAGCCCCTACCCTTTCATTATATAATGACAATGACAATGCTTTATTTATTTGGAGTCTTATACAGTCCTATCTACATTGACTTTATCCAAATAATTCAGAATCATAACACAAATGGCACACTAGTGGACACTAGTAGTTATATAAAGGAGTACCACCCCAGATCCTGACCCCTTTCATGATTATTAGAAACCGAGACAAGGTCTAAAAATGGGTGAAGAAAATAGCATTTTGATCCGGCTCATGATTCAGAGAACCGAGCGGCCCACCTCCACCAAGACTGATTTATAGGAGTATTTACAACTTTAACTCACGTGTCTTGCTATTTAGCGATCTTTTGATCTTATTTTTCCTTACCTAGAACCAAATAGCACCGTTTTTACCAAAGTAGTCCGTAGTCCGTATTTTATACCCAGTCCGCAGTCCGCAGTCCGCGTTTTGTAGCTTGTCCGTGTTTAATATACCCAGTCCGTGTTTTCCAGTCTGCGTTTTATACCTAGTCCGTATTTTATACCCAGTCCGCAGTCCGTAGTCCGCAGTCCGTAGTCGGCAGTCCGCAGTCCATGTTTTATACTGACCGATTACTTACATATCTGATGCACACAGTAAACTTCTAAATCATGAAACGAAACTAAACGAGACAAAGAATTATTCTTCTTCTGTATTATTTGATGCTTCTTATTTGAAAACATGCAATCGACTGAAATAAGAACTATCAAGGGGTAGTCTTAGAAACAAAGCAATGACGTAAATGAAACACGAGAAAGAAAGTAACTGTTGAAACAAAATGAAACTAAAAATAATGACAACTGAATGAGAAACTTAACACATTGCCTTAAACTAGTACATGATATTGAAATAAAAATATCTTGTGATGAATGTGTGTACACTCGGAAGATATTAGCCATATTACGATCAAGTGTATTTCTGCCATCTTGAATTTGAGCCTCCTTTGTCAGCAGTCGCTCCCAATCCCACAATCTTCAAAAATTAAAATGGAATCCTTAGTCAGAAGACCATGTTTTGCATCGAATAGACAAAAACTTTATGAGGCTGTTTTCCATTGGAGAAAAAAGGGTGTTTTGTAGCATAAATTAAGGCCTCTAAAATTTGATGTGCAACCCAAGCTTTGTTGGTTTTCTTCTACAAATGAACACAAAAACATCACTGATTGATGGATGCTTGTGTTGTATCCTGCCTCTGTGGTCGTCGTCAGTTCATGCTTCCTTTGTGAACTGATTAAGTCCATAAAATAAGCGTTTTCAATGAATACGTACACTCTTGTCTGTCCCCTGTGGAAATTCTGCACCCAACCCCCCATGCCTTTTATGATAAACTATTGAATATGGCTAACCTGCTATGGCTAAATCACTGCTGGCTTTGACGGTCGCATTTATATATGAATATTCATCTGGCTATCGAAAAGCTCACAAATGTGAAACAACGTTGATTAACTTAGTGGAAGAATGGAGACTGGCGAGGGATAATAAACTTGCTGTGAGCATTCTATCGACAGGCATGTCAAAGACTTTTGACTCTTTGCATTCGCCACTGCTGCTCAGTAAGCTGAAAGCATATGGTTTTCGGGAAAGCACAGTACAACTTCTACATAGCTATCTACATGACCGGACATATTGTGTGAAATTAGGAAGTCATGTAAGCACATGTAGAACGGTCAACCATGGTTGTCCCTAGGGCTCCTCCCTAGGCCCGTTGCTATGGAATATCTTTCAAAACAATCTGTCTTACTGGGCCGGGTAACAACAAACTAATTATCAATGTATGCAGACGATCACCAAATATATCATATTGGATCTGATCGATCTGTAGTGTTTCATCCAAGCTCAAAGATGGTGCGCGTGCTGTTACCAAGTGGTATGACTCCAATCTTCTTGCTGGGAACCTCAAGAAATATCAAACTATGAACACTGGGTACAGTTAGGCAATCAACAGTGAGGCACATGCACTTTGTGTGAACAAGGAGGAAATAAAATCTCAGACTCTTAGGTGTCAAATTTAACTTAACTGATCACATTAGCACAATTTGTAAAAATTTTAAGCTATAGTCAAAGAATTGGCGTGCTCATGTGACTTAGGAACTTAATTCCAACTAAGGCCAAGCTAATATTATTCAAATCAGCAGTTAACCATACCTTACGTATTGCCATTTAGTCTGGTATTTTTGTAGATGTAGTGATGGGCAAAAACTAGAAAGACTTCAAGAAAGGAGACTGAGGGCACTAGTATACAGAGACAAGCATGCAGGTTATCCGTTGAATTGGTGCCTTCAGGATATTTGCATCCTTATGTACAATTAGTGAAGCACAAATCTACGTCCAACTTATATCTGTAATCTTTTCAATAATCATAATTCTTCTTATTCGTTACGACAATCGGATTTCTCTATTCCTATATATTCCTATATATTCCGATATAATACTGTAACATGTTATGGTTAACATTCTTTAAAGGTATCTTGCGCCTAGGTTATGGCGAAAATTACTTTCTAATTTAACATGAGCAAAAACTCTGAACATCTTTAAAAGCAGAATTTGTTAGAATGATATAAGCTCAATGATAGATGTAATAGATCATGCATGAGATGCAGTGTTTCATCACCAGATGAAACACCAAGAAGAGAGTTGAAAATACAATGCGCAGCGGAGTATTTTTGACGAATTTCGAGGTGTTTCATCTGGTGATGAAACACTGTGTCGAATGCTTGAAATTACTTCCCAAACAAAATCATTTTAGAAGGAGAAATTAAGGATGCAAAAATGAGCAGTGCTTCCTCTGGTTTCCAAACCACTGTCACGGTTGTGATTTTCTTTTTTTTTCTTTATGAATTATTAATGAGTTTGAGAAGATGGATGCCAGAGCTGTTCTCTCTGCTCATCATAATCATTTAACTTTACAATTCTCTCTCAGTCATTTTAGATTATCATTGGATTGTAATACATTATGCATAGTTTAAATATTTTTACTTTTATATTGTATAGGTAATTCTAAGTATTTAATTATAAATTGTGTCCGCAAATTAGTATGGGGTTTTCCCAAGCTATACAGCTCGGTCACATTAATTAAGTTTTCTATCTATCTGTGTATCTATCTATCCTAAATACATTGCTGATTGACCTTTTCAAGAGGACAGACACCAAATATCCACTGAGAAACAAGGAATTTGTAATACATAGATTTAATACTATTACATGACACGTGGGATTTAGCATTCTATTAGATATATTGGCCCTAAGTTATGAAATCTACTGCTTAAAAAGATCGGGGACCGTTCCTACACTTAAATCTGTGTTCAAGCAGCATATTCTACAGCTTGACCTATATCCCTTGCTTGGCTCATACACACTTGTGAATAGTTTTTATTTTTTAATTAACAATTATACAGCTGATGTAATAATATTATAAATTTTACACTTTGGTCTCTAGTCAGTTATGATACATTTGTAAATAGTTTTGTTGACTCGATTTTAATTGCGACAAAAGTTGTTTATTTTCATTTATAGTGTCCCCGTTTAGTGGTTCCTCTACTGTTATGTTAGTTTGACACTTAAATAAAGGTATTGATTGATTGATTGATTAATTCGGAATTCCAATTTTTATTGTAAGTATCCCTCTGAATGCCTTCGGATTTCCAGTTCAAAGAACTCGGAATTCCGAAAAGCCGTCCGTGGTATGGTATGGATATTTTCTGGAATTGCCCATTAAATGTGACAGCACTTGCTTTTGTTAATGGAAAGAATAGTGGCTTTACAACAAATGATAGACAAGAAAAACACGTTTTTGTTTATTTATAGATTTTGTCTAATTTTTTCCCCAGTGCAAATTTTTTCCGTGGCACCTTTGTAGATTGTTCAGTCTTGAACAAAATTTGTAAAAACTTGACAAACCATCAGCATTTGTTAAGCATTGATGATGACAGAACATCTGCCCAAATAGACAGCAGTTTTGCAGAGCAGAAAGGCCCTAAGTGTAGATTAAATTATCATACAATACAATACAAATTTGTATTGGCATTCCTTTTGATTTTGTAAACATATTAAGTGTTCGCATAAATGGATCTTAAATTAAAGGCTCTACTTCTTTTATGACCTCCATTTACATTTGCTAGACAGGAAAACTTTGCAGAAAATTTGGCTTATTCCTGAGATTAACCAAAGCTTCTTTCTAGGAACCAGCCCCATAGTGCTAGTGGCAAAAGTGGCCAGTTCCAGTCTCACGGTGCGTTCTGTTGATGTCAACTCAGGCTAGAGTTTTGTCTGAATTAGCAACAACTAGTGCACCACGGTAATATATTATAAAAATTAATATTATAATATTATTAGTTCTGTTTTTAATTTTTATTCAATTCATGTTTTAGGATTATTAAGATCTTCAGAGCATTCAACTAGCAGATCATATGGTAGTGATGGCAATACACCCCGGCTTACCACTGGTCCTCTAGAGATTACTATTAACAGATCAGAATGCAGTGATGGTAATGCACCACAGCTTGCCAGCGGTCACCCTTCTTGTTCAAAGAATGCTGCAAGTAACCCAAAGAAGTCTACCAGGGACCCTCCTGAGCTTAATAAAGTTCTTCCATCATTGGCTGACATTAACACACTAACCAAACCTTCAAAACATGCTGATCTCCCGGTTGATGTGTTGTTACTGACAGTGAAGAATTGTGAGTTCTTAGCTTGTTACAGTGAGCTTAAGAGCCCCTATAGATGTTACTTTGATGGTCTTGGGTACGTTTACTTTTCTGATGTGGATGGAAGTCAAGAGAAAGTAAAAGTCGCATTATTAAAATGTTACGAGAACAGTGGTTGTCCTGGTGGTTCTCTCATCTCTGTTAAGAATGCTGCAACTGTGCTAAGACCTAAAGCAGTTATATCTGTTGGTGCATGTAGTGGTCTTCACCCTGAGAAATCCAAGTTAGGAGATGTTGTTGTTTCTGCGAAATTAACAACATATGCACCCAAAGTGGTGATCAATGATCAAGAGCAGTCAACTGGCATGAGAAATTATGTGAGCAAATGTTTCCTGGATGTCATTAAGAATTGTGCTGATGGCTGGCAAGCACCTTTGAAGAACCTGGCTGATGCTCAACAAGTTCAAGTTTATACTGATGCTGAGTTTCTGAGTGGACCAGAACAAGTCATTTCTGGACAGCGACGTGATCAACTTGCTGAAACCAATCGTCAGGCAGTAGCAATGGAAAATGAAGGGGAAGGTAAGTTGACTGTTGTTTTTGTTTGTCCTTACAACATAATTTTTATTATACGTAAGTACGCTGTACATATAAGATTATTGCAAGTCTTTCATGACCCTCTGGAAAAAATATTTCATATAAACATCCCCTACCCTTTGGAATTTTTGGCATTTTAATCTCCCTTCCCCTCCCCCACGGAAATTCCATTGATTATCCATGGGAAAGTTATGGATATTTTCTGGAAAGACACATTCCATGTATATGTCATGGTTAAGTTGTACAGTTGTCGGTTTATATTCTGCGTAGTTTTGATTGATTTACTTGTAAACTGATTTTGATTAAAGAGATTTGTATGGAAAAAAGCCAGTCTAGCCCGCCTTGCCTTATGTTTCTTTAAGTAAACTTCTCATAGAATAGGAGTATGCATGTACCCTCAAAACTCCATAAACATTAATAATAACTTTACCTTAACTTGATGCTTAAGGTAAATACTGTAAAATTCCGAAAATAAGCCCCTCCATGTATAAGCCCCTCCAAATATAAGCCCCCCCAAACCGGTAACGCAAAAAACCCTCCATTAAATGGCCCCTCCAAATATAAGCCCCCCGGGGGCTTGTACTTGGAAAATTGCACTCAAATACAAAGTAAAACAAAGCAAAAACGGAAAATTTACTTCCAACTACAAGGCTAGCCCAATCGATTTTGAAACGCAAATTTCCCTCCGTAGATAAGCCTCTCCGAATATAAGTCCCTCCAAAAATAAGCCCCTCAAAGAGGGCCTTTGAAAAATGTAAGCCCCGGGGCTTATTTTTGGAATTTTACGGTAGTTTAATTCTGTTGGTAAGTTTTCAGAGGTGCACATAAACAATAGCAGCTGCATGATGTCTCTGAGCTCCACACAATTTTTTTTGCGCATGTACACAGGACTGTTTTAAAACTCATGTACTGTTTGTTTTGTTTTCCTATAGGAGTATTTACAGCAGCATTTGATTGTCAAATTGAGTGGTTAATTGTGAAAGGAATAGCTGATTATGCAGATGGTTCTCAGTTAGCTTCAGAGAGTTGGTCTTCCTGTGCCAGTGTGATGGCAGCATCTCTTGTTGCACACATGTTGAATGAACCCTGTGTTTTTCATTCATGGCCTCATTATCAAGGTAATCATGCTATCATAAAGTGCTGCCACATCTTGGCATCTGATTTATTGAATCTATTGTTGGGTTCGTTCCATAGTACAGTAACAGATAAGCTACATGGTACATGTAGCTTATGTGGTGTATGCCATCCCAAATTCAGCTGTCCAACACTCACCGCTTGTTCAAGTTGTTTAAGTTGAGATTCAAGTAGTATAGTGAATGTGATACATTTCTGTAAAATAACAAGAAGCATTAGAAGTGTGCATCTTATTAAAAAGGGACCAGTACGGTTTGAGATAATTTGCAATATTTAGAAGCTATCATGATAGACCGGATTATACCGTAAATCCTCTATTAAGCCCCCCTCTTCTCAAAGAACCCCCTTCCCTCTTATAATCCCCCCTTCCCTCCCCTAATTATTCTTTACTAATAAGGATGGATGGTTTCATACCAGCTGGAAGTTTGGATTTGATTCTGATCCTCCGTGCATGACCTTAAACCTTCTTGTACTTGAGCTTTTCCATTTAGTGTTGTAGCTCTCTATGGAGAGCTGACACTATCGTCTTTTCTAAATTAATTTAGCCCCCCACCCGCCCCCACCACCACATCTCAAATAAGGAGGATTTACCGTAGTGATATTTTGACATTTGACATGCATATTTTAGACAGTGGTGAAAATATTATTATTATTATCGTTTTATACGTCATCACTGAATCCATAAAATATCAATTTTGTTATCAAACTAATGAGTGTTTTTTCTTCAGGACCGCAACCACAAGAGTTAATCACCCACTATAATGAAACCTTAGTCGCTCCTTTCATCGAATGTATGAAGAAACATGTCCGAGATGTCACTGACAAACCTTACAGAGACCTCAAATCACCTTTTCATAATCCAGGCGAAGGACCTAGAAGAGATCTAAAACTTGACGAAATCTTCACCAATTTGATTGTTTATGATGGGAGAGCGAAGTATGACTTTTCAGGAGACAGAGGGAAACAGCTAAACGAGTACCACAAAGCCAGTGAAAGTTTACAACCAACACTGCCAGGAGATATTTTCGATGCTGAAAAGCAGAAGATTCTTGTTGTCGGTCGTCCTGGAATTGGAAAAACCATGTTTAGCACAAAGATTCTTCGCAACTGGGCGTCCGATAACCTTTTCAACGAAACACAAAAATCGCAAGTCGATTTTAAAGTTGCCTTTCTCGTTAAGCTGAGAATGTTTAACACTAGAAACCAAGAACTAAATCTTCGCGAGCTTCTGGATCACTCAGAGTATTCAACCGCTCTTTCCGAAGAGCTCTGGAACTACATCCGCCACAACCCAGAGCGAGTACTGTTGATTTTTGATGGATTTGACGAATATTCTGGTAGGACTAAAATAAATGAAGATGACATTCAGTACAGAAACAGTGAAGAGGAAAGTATGCCTGTTTGTTTCCTTATGAAGAAAATAGTAGAGGGAAAAATTCTTACCGGTGCGACAATCCTAACGACTACAAGACCCAATGCCGTGTCATGTATGAAAAGTCTTCACTTCGACAAAACAGTTGAAATACTGGGATTCACAACTGAGCAAGTAAATAATTATGTAGAGAAGTTTACAAAGGAGGCGGACAAAGCGGAAACCATAAAGCAACACATTACCAGTAACTTAAACCTTGTAGCCTTCTGCTACGTTCCTGTTAATTGCTTTATCATTTGTAGTTGCTTGTTAGAGTTGCTTGGTAACACTGGCTTTACCAGCCTCCCGACGAGACTGACAGAAATATACTCAATTGCAGTAAGGATGTTTTACTTTAGCTACGATGATGATCAATATCGCCACAATAAAACTGAAGGTCAACAGTATTTTCTTAAGCCGTTTAAGGAACTGCCTTCCTCTGTGCAAAATGTGTTCACACGACTGGGAAAAATTGCTTTTGATGGTATTAAAAAAGGAAGACTAATTTTTGAATCACACGAAGTTAACGACCTAGAGAGTAATGGCCTGTTTCACCGTTTGCCTGATTTTAGAGACCGTCCTTTAGCAGAGGGAAGAGCGCAATATTGCTTTTTACACCTGACCTTACAGGAGTTCTTGGCGGCGAAGTATTTGGTAGACACGTTGAGTTCCGAACAACTGCGGGATTTTGTTGCCGCTCACATCGAGGATGGCGCGTGGAAGGTTGTGATGCAGTTTGTGGCTGGACTACTGGCTGAAAAAGAAGGACAGTCAACAGATATTTTCAGCGACCTTCTTCCCTCAAAAACTTTTACTTATGAAGTTAAAATCGAGATGAATGAAGATTCAGAGGAACGAACTGAAACACTGACCTGGTGGCCAGCTTATGAAGACAGGTTATTAGTGGTGACGCTATTCAATTGCATGTATGAGAACAAAGCCTCGGATCGAGAAGTTCAAAAGAAACTGGCGAAAATTGGTTGTAATGCGCTTTATTTTAGTTACTGTAAGCTGTCACCTCTCGACTGTTTAGCATTAGTGCATGCACTTAAATCTGTTGAAGGAATTTTGGATTTTGAATTAATCGTCAACAAACTTCAGTCGCTAGGATGTATTGAGATTGCGAAGTTGTTACCTGGCAACCAACACAATCAGGGTTTTTGCGAACTAAAAAGATTAAACCTCGGGGGTAACAAGATAACTGATGATGGAGTAAAACATTTATCCACAGCACTCACACACACTAACTGCACACTAAACACCTTAGACCTCGGGGGTAACAACATAACTGATGAAGGAGTTGAACATTTAGCCACAGCACTCACACACATTAACTGCACACTAAACAGCTTAATCCTCGGGGGTAACAACATAACTGATAAAGGTAAAAATCTCGTAAAGTCAAGGAACATAAAATGTAAAGTATCTTTCTAACTTTTCTAAAAGGTAAATGTTTCCCTGTTGAAGGAATTTTGGATTTTGATTTAAGCTTCAACAACTTTCAGTCGCTAGAATGTATTGAGATTACGAAGTTGTTACCTGGCAACCAACACAATCAGGGTTTTTGCGAACTAAAAAGATTAAACCTCGCTTTTAATCAGATAACTGATTAACACCACACTAACTACAAACTAAACAACTTAAAGCTGAATCAATATTGCTTTTTCTAAACTTAAAGCTCAATAAGATAACTGATGGATGTATAAAACGCTTCACTGCCAGCACTGCACTCACACATACTAACTGCGAAAGAAACAACGCTTAGATCTTAGAGCTAACAAAATAACCCAGCAAGGGAAGAATCTCTCAGACGCAAGGAAAATAAACTATAAAGTATTTATCTAAGCAAGTGTAAATATATTTTTCTGAATAGCAATAATTTGAGCTACATTCTTTGACATTATATTTTTCATTTTTTAAAAAGAAGTTAAGTTTTTTGAGTTCGTCAATCAGGTAACTTCTAAGCAATCTCGAAGTTCTTAGGTTTTCATTTATATATTGTTTTGTTTTGTTTTTTTTTTGTTGTTTCATAATAATAGTGTGGGTTTTTGTGAGAAGAGAAAATTTGTTTGGTCATTGCTATATCTTTACATAGAAACAGGGTGTGATTTGAACAAACCAAAAGAACTAAAAGCTAAAAAGGTTTAGAATAGATTACAGTTTACTAACTCCTAAAAAATCTCCACTTATCGTGAAGCCTAGCGTTAATAACAATGTGTATTAATGACCCATAATGAAGACTGAAACAAATTAATGGACATTTACATTTAAGCTAGATAACTAAACATACTGCTACATATGAAGAAATTTTCCTATAGGAATGTAATTAGTATAATGATTGTGATAATGCTCCACTGATTCACAGTTAGCGTCACCTAAGAATTATTATTTGCAGTCATTGCTATCTGAAAGTGACTGATACATCATGTTTAGCTTTCCTGCGAGTATTCATACTTGTATATAAGTTTAGTTTTTGATATGATTAAAGTTCTGTTAGACCAATATTATAGATGTCTGCCTGGCCTCCCTCCTTAGTAAATCAATCTGAGCATCCAGCAAAATGCAGGGTAAACTGCTTTTGGGACAGAAAAAGCAGAGATGGGTCTAACAAGGGGATTGCGCGGGGAGGGGGGGAGGGGTGCATGCACCCCCTTTTACCGCACAGATACTTTATCTTGGTCTCAGATGTCAAACTTTGTATGTAAACCGTAACGGACTCAGACCCGCCTGGGGTGGTTTCGAGGTGGAGCGATTGTTTCATTCCCAAATTGAAGTGTCTCAGCTCTTCGGTTTTGGTTACGGAAGGGCGTCTCAATCGTTTGAAAGTAGCGGCCTTACTGGCAGTCAGAAGGCTGATTTCACCAACTCACCTTCGGAAACTGTAAACTACAGCCACCGCTTTTGTTATTGTCTTAATGGGGGCCAGCTTACACACCTGCTAACATAAGAAGTAACAGTTAAGCGGAAATCCAAGATCACCGGTGAAGCGAAACTAACACCAGGGTACTGTTCAAAAAATCCATGTTTTTATCCTGGTGCCGGCAAGGGGTGCGCACTTGAGTGAAATGTTGGTGCGGGTGTGCCGCTGACTCCTAAAAAGCTGAACCTGTTGAAGACAAAATGATCCTTTCTTTTCGCTTCCCTGTTTTCGTGACCCAGTCTCCTTCTCGTCAGTTCTCTTTGTCGTCACGCAACGCTCTTCCTGTTTTGGGGGAGGAAGTAAACACGATATAAGCTTCTTAAGAAGTAGCCTCACTGGCAGACGTTCTTAGGATTTCCTTAAGTCAGCGTGGGAGGCCGCTACCGTTGGGAGCTAAAGATCGTCCTTGAATCCTCAAGGAACTTACCTCTGGGATAACAATATCTTCCCTAGAGAGAAGGATTTACAGTTAAGATGGCGTTGATCTTCTTTGACACACAGAGAGGGTTTGTCCTTGATCGAAGCAAATCTCAAAACTAGTAGCCTGAGAAATAAAAAAGCCGACATTTCCCGACGCCACAACTGTTTCCCCTCCCTGTCCGACATGACCCGTCCAAAGAACAAGCCCAGAAATTCCATACTGATGATGTGTCACCCAGATCTGAGTAGTGCTTTTGTTTAGTTGAAAATTTGCTACATCCAAGTTTATCTTTTTACGACATTTTGACATTTTGTGTGGCTCGCCTTTGTACACGCTCGATCGAGTATTGGTTTTGGGGACCACACTTGAGTCGGGTGCCTCACCTGGGACTTCACCAGAAACAGGTAGAGCGTCTGCTCACACTGACGTCCGTTGAGAGAGGGCAGGCTCACTTCAGAGGTCCAAGGAGCTTGCTGGCCTTGGCGACGATAGTATCATGTGCGTGTCCCAAGAGAGGGAGAGAGATGGTAACTCTGAGATCTTTGATCATTATACAGTCTGGGAAACTGCCCACCTACCCCTCCCCTAAGCCAACATTCACACTTACTTCTCACTTAGGGCAAAATGTTAGCTTAGGGGAGGGGTAGGTGGGAGGTGCACGTCCACAAGGTTATAACTGTATATCACGTGGTTCGCCTTCCGCGTAACACTTGGTGCTTTTCATTTCAAAGCATTAAAGCTGAATAAAGACTTTTGAATGTAGAGGTCCACTTAACGAACTGTTCCTTAATTTTAGGAGCCGTTAATTATAGTATTTTCTTTCGAGAAAGGCGAGTTTGGTTACCCGAAATATTGTACCCAAATATATCAGCCCTTTGCCGTGCATTGTCAGCCTTGCATTCAGTTTTTTTCTATTAAAGCTAATGTTGTCTTAACTCCATTCGCCCCAGTTCGAGAGAGTGATAAAGAAATAAAATGCAAATACCGTGGACGAAGATCCTGCTGGTTGTCAACGTTGGCACAAGAAAAGAGGTCTAGTCGGTTTAAAATTTCAGTTGTCTTTAGACTTCTCGTTGCAGTTTAGTCATAACCTTGCCTTCGGAGGCATTCGGGAGATCATTAATGATTCTTCTAAACAGTAGTGGACCAAGGAGACTTCCCTGCGAAACGCCAGAGGTAACATGGGCCCATTGCGAGGCTGCCCCATCAGCCCCAACACGTTGGACCCACCAACTCAGGTAGTTTTTGAACCAGAACTGGATCAAGGATAAAGCGGTTCACATCAACCCAAGAGCCATCTCGGCCACATTCCTTTCATAAGAGCTAAAAATGGCTCACAGGCAGGAATCTTTTCATGCTTTCATCTTTTGTCGATTGTCTTAACCTATAAACCGAACTCGCTTTTTCATTTCTGTCAGCCTTTCCTGGCCTAATCTTCATCGGGGATTAGTAAAAAAAATGAAAGAGACAGAAAGTTCTTTGGCCTGACACGTACCCGCGCAAAAATAAAAATAGTTTATTAATATTTACAACTTTCAGATTCCCCCGTTTTAGTTGATATCGCAAATATCACACGGTGGCAGAATTTGTTTGATTTCCGGGAAGGTAATAGAAATTACTAGTAGTCAATGTATGATTAAAGCTCGTTCGAGCTAGGATGGAATGCTTAATTTCGATTAATCTCTTTCCCTTGGAAACTTGACGCAAAGATTCACCCCTACGGCGATTTTCAAATTTGCCACAAACTAAAAATAAGAGGTTGGTTTCGTTAATATCATGTTTTGGATGAGGTCGTAACGTTCGTGGCTGTAAGGGTGGATTTCCACCGTTGCTTAATTTTTACGTGCGTACGGGCGTAAAATTTACCTGCGTGAAACAGAAAGGCTACGACCAGTTTATGATTTCTGATATTGCCGAACATTCGAGATACGAAAACTTTGCCCTGACACGAATGTTCTACAAACATTGTTTTTGTGATTCAAATATACCAAGCAGCCATGGTTAACAAGATGGGAATCATTCTCCTCGTTTCATCATTTCCAGTAGGATGCAAAGGCTAAATATACAAGCATTAGTTCTTCAGCAAGAAAACTCAAACAACATGCAAGATCTAAAAGCTTTTGTCGATTGTGGAACAGAAACTGAACTGAGCTCGCTTTTTTCCGTTTCTCTCAGCCTGTCGTGGCCCAGTCTCCATCACGGAATAGTAAACAAGACAATTAAAGGGATAGGAAGTTAACTTTGTCCTGTGACACGTACGCAAAAATAGCAACAGTTAATGTTCACAACAACTTATAGATCAAATATTTCACTGTCACAATCAATCATAGACAACACAGGCTGACCAAATTTCTTTACTCGCTTTCCCCCGTTTGTGACAGTATCGCAATAGAGACTAGACTTACGACATAGAAGGTCTTAAAGATTTGCTTGCTCCTAAAACACTCCACTGGTTCAGTTATGTGGGAAATGTATGTTGGATTTTGCTCGGAATTATCTTATCAGCAAACAGAGTAGTTCTGATTTTCGCTGTAACTCAGATAGAGACAATGATATAAACTCATTGGTGGGTCGACAACGATAAACTCATTGGTGGAAAGTGTTACAAACAATATTAAAAACAATACAACCGAAATTCGGTATCCCTATGTGTGGATTCGTGATTATTAACTCTTTTGTTACTGCAAGTGTTTGTGGAATTTATTGAGGAACTTGAAGATTCATTAGCTTTCACAAAAGCAGCCATCTCACATGCGTATAGTAACAGCAAAACAAAAGGCAGCTTAGTCCTCAGAGCTCATAAATAACTCAGGAAGATAAAAAAAATCTTAAAAATAAGGAAAATAAACTATAAAGTATCTGTCTAAGTACGAATAAATTTTTCCCTGAACAGCGCTGATTTGAACTGTATTTTGCTGTGACCTTTTCGCGGTTCCTTACATTGTTTTTGGCCACTGCCATGGTTTTACAATGGAAAAAATAAGGGTGGTGATTTAAGCAACCTACAAGCTCATAAAAATGTTCATATAGAAAACAGTTTACTAACTCCTCAACAAAAGTGATCTTGCTCTCAATGATTTTCACGTAAGTAAG